ATAAAGCCACAATGTGTACTTATATATCTCGTTTTTGTTTTTTTGTTTTTTTTTTTTTTTTTATATTTTCATTATCGAAGAATATTTAAGACAATATTATGCATTTGGTTTAATAATATATAAAAAGAGTAATACTTATGAATATGATTGAATTAAATTTACCAAATTAGCTTATAACTTTTGTTGAACGGCTGAATATTGTTAAAATCTAGCAATCGGGTATTTGTAGTTTTTTTTTTTTATTATTAATCTTTTTTTATACAAGGGGTCTGCAAGAAAGGTATTCTCATCCGAAGACATTGATTTAGATGTTGTAACACACAGACGTTTTGACGTCTACATGCATAAAACAATTGTCTACATACATCTTTAAAAATAACTTTTTGCAAAAAACAAACACCACTTAAGAAACTTAATATCAACGTATTCAAATCTGAAAAGAGATCTGAATACTAACTATACATGAGTATGAGTTAATTAAGAGACATTAAAAGTTTTTTTTTTTTTTTTTCTAAAAGTATAAATAAAATAGTTTTATCAAGAATGATGCATTAAACCATATTGACTTGTAACATTTATTATTTAACAACATCCACACATTAATCATTGTATTTAACAGGAGGATAAATATTTGGTATTTCATAAAAAAACAAAGAAAAAAAAACGACAGCTCCTCAATTTTTTTTACGTCTTTTATATGTTTAAATTGTCAAAATCTTCATTTTGATAGCAGTAAAATTCTTAAAAATTAGACTCATGTTAACGGTCATGGCATCTATCTATTTTCTTTACATAATGGGGATAATAAAAAAAAACAAAAAAAATCATAAATTGTCCTTGTAATTTCTTCAGATATGAAGTTTAGTCTCATTGTTTATAAACATCATAGATTGTCCCTGTGTTTTCAAAACTTTTGATATTTGGTTCTTTTTGCTAACTCCGTTAACTTTTGGCCGTTAAATGAAGGATATTTTCGTCATTTCACCCAAGACCATTTATGAGGTTTTCATTAATTTAAAAAAATAATAATATGGAAATATCTCTCTCTCTCTCTCTCTCTCTCTCTCATGAGCACACTCCCTACCGGTGGCGATTGTGTCGGATGTTGTGAAGATTACAAAAAATATTAGAAGGTATCAGATCTATCTCACGAATACTACTCATAGATCTCTAGATCGAGATTGTGTTACTACTCTCGGCTCGTTCTAGAAAAGAAGAATTGTCTCTAGATATGGAGCCTTCATCACCTCTGTTACTGTAATATGGAAAGTCGCTAATGGAGGTGCTAGTTATAGGAGTCAAGTGAGTCTCCTTCTATACATATCAAATTTGGTTTAAACATTCCTCTGGCTTTTTGATTTACCACATCTCATTGTCTGGGTTTTTGATTTGCACAATTACATCTCATCTTATGGGTTTCCATCCATCTCTACCCACCTTCTACATAAAGCATCGATTACAATGGTGTAAGTGTAATTATTTGGATTGATTCCAGAATTTTTAATCTCACAAAATACCCTTTCATTACCCATTGACTAAAACTGGTTTACACGACAACATCTAGTTCAAATGAATCTGAAATCAAGTTTGTTTTGTGGTCTAATGCACAACATTCATTGGCATTCCTAAACAAATATTTCATGCAAATTGTAGTTAACATGAGGATTCAGATAAACCGAGGTTTTGTGGTCTTACATAAAAAAAACAAAAAACAACCAAACAACCAAACAAACAAACACTCCTTATGGATTGTACTCATCCCAAGTATCACTGCTCATGGGTACAAACTCTATTTTCGGCTTGAACTTGGCGATCCAATCCATCTCAATTTTTTTCGGTGGTTCTTCCTGTTTTTCTTTCTTTTTTTCCTTCATGGCCTTTTTTAGGATCATCATTAAAAAAAACATTAGCAATTAACCACTATAAATTCCAATTAAATTGAGAGCAGGAATTTATCTAAACAACTAAAATATCATTACTCGTTTCATTTTCTTCTTGGCTATCTTCTCGGCCTCTGCCTTTCTATTCTCAGCCTCCGCCTTTCTATTCTCCGCCTCCTCCTTACTTGGAAGGCGCATCTAAATCATAAATAAAATTTGGCAATTAGGTTAGAAATAGAAAACATATAATGATTCAACTGAGAGATAGATACAAGGTCCAACTTGTAGCACAAGTGTCATCTATACTATGATTAAAGGGATGTTATGAGAAACATATATGAAGATAGAAAAAGGAAAAAAAAATACAACTTATATGAAATGACATTCCACTTGCAAGATTCAAAGTCTGAGTCCAGAAAGATAACAACAAAATAAGACACTAAGTGCCAGAAAAATACTTGATGACCTAGGTGAAACCTTAACCCTTTGCTAGATGCGTCAAGAACAAGTCAGCTAACAAGAGCTAACAAGTGTTCATAAGTGATTTTTATATGTATGATGATACCTACTATCATACAAAAATCAAAATTCAGGGTGGAAACCTATCAATGCGACATAGCAAAGTAAATTTTATTACATTTGTTCAAGAAATAGCCCTAATCTTTAAATTAGGGTGCATTTTCATAATAAACCATAAATCGTAACGAAAATTGTTAATCGCACCTCATCTTCACGAAGAATCATATTAGGTGACCCGTTCTTAACAGGGAACCGGCGATAAGTCTCGGGGCAAAGCAGTACACCTTCCTCGAGTTGAAGTTCAAGGAGTGCATGGTGGAATTTCTTCAAAAACTCATTGGAATCGAGCACCGACGCATCGGGGACTTTGTCAGGGAGCTCGGTGTATCCCAAGGTGTTTGACGCGTAGACTAGGGCATCCCAATTGATAGTGAAGAACGCTCTCTTGAGATAATCAGGATCGAATGTCTCTTCCTCTACGCTGACTTTTCTTACAATGATTTTGAGAGGGTAGTTGTTTGTTACTCCCTTGATCTGCGATTTGAGAATGTTGTGGGTTAACAGCCTCATCTTCGTGTTCGCGTATACGGTGATGGTATTTTGATCTTGGATTTTGAGTTTTTCTTAAGGAGACAAAGAGGAAGGAAAAAGTATTGAGAGGGAGAAAGGAAAAAAACAATTGTGGAGGAGAGGATTGTGAGGGGTAGGTAAGAGGTCCTCCTAAATACACGAACTATTCGTGTGAGACTTTGAATTTTGACTACCAAACATCACCGGTCAAATTTCTATACCACATTTCCTTCGTCTATCTTCTCAATTTTATATATTTTTTTAATATATAAATAAACATATCCATATTTTGATATCCACACCCATTAACTTTATTACAGAATAATCCGTTTGTTTTTTTAGGACATTTTAAATATCCAAAATATATGTTAGTAAATTAGTATGACATTTAAAGAAAGTAATAAGTAACAAATACCACTGAATAGCTGTAAAATTGGTATATATTAAAACAAAAAATTAGATATAAATGTCTAAACACTAAACATTTAAAATAAAAATTCGAAATAAATACGACCAATATAATAAATAATTAAGTACGAAATAAATACGACCGATATAATGTTTCCAATCACCCGGTTTTGATATCCATTTAGTAACTGAACTATTATTATTATAATAATCATAAAAAAGTAATAGTTCAGGGGTAAATCGATAAAACGGTGAAAGGTGTTGTGCTTTTTTATATTTTAACCTTTTCCAAAACCGAGTAACCAGGAAAATGGCTTTTTAAATTGTTAAAAAAATAATAATGGTTTATTACAAAAAAAAAAAAAAAGGTATATGAAAAAGGTTTTACCTGCAAGACAGCAAGGTCCTTGGATCGGTCTGCACCTATCAACTTGGCTTCAAAAATATTTTATACCCTTTCAATATAAGAAATCGGTGACGCATAATTTATATAAATTATTAAATATATAATAAGATCAAAAAGAGTCTCACCCTTATGAGGTAAGAATATTAACTCTGCAACAACTTGTCCAGGTTTTGGATTCCTTGATAAAGAATTGCCAATAACTGGTCAACCATAACATTAGTTTAGTGCTTTATATCCCATTTAATAACTCAAAACACCATTATGAAAGAATAATGAGAAAAAATATTCAAGAACAAAAAACGATACATTGTTTGTATAAATTGGTTAATTTGGGTACAAAAAGCGAGTTAGCTAAAAGGTAGGATAGTTCAAAAGATGCCCAAAGTTTACTCAACCTTTGAAATAGTTTTTTTCAAAAACTGGATTAGTAATTTGATGATAATTTTTATAATCATATTTAACATATTAATCATTGACGAAATTTTAAAGAGAGTAAAACATCATATGTCCTTACCATGGTAATTCATGACAATGTGCCCTTCTTCATCCCAAACAACTCCTGAACCATTGCCTTCAAGAATCTATCAGTCTCAAATACAATACATGTCAAACTCACTACAACCAGGCTTATGTGCTTGTTCAAAATTAATTCAACTACCCCTGTAACATTAAGCTGGGGGCATAGAGTTACATCAAATATATTGACAACAGAATTAAGTGTTGTTCTCAAATAGGTTCACGATTCTTTCCTGCCATTGCCAAGCATACACATATCAATATACCTGCAATGAACATACATTATGAAGGGTAAAATATAAAAGTGAATTGCTTTCAAGAATAGAATTGATAAAAATAATGAAGAAGAAACCTCAGGAGAAAAAAGTAGCAACCCTCCCCTTTTGATTTTTTTCTGATAATCAATTCCGAATGAGAATAAGAAAAGAGGAACCTGGAATAGTGAAATCGAAGAAAATGAAAGTTGTCTCTTCCACACAAAAAATATCGTTTATTTTGAGAAAGTCGTTTAGATCAAATCAACGTAATCAAACATACCACTCATTCAAAAAAATACAGCAAGCCTAAACAGTAGATCAATTTGGGAGCGGAGAAACTTAACTTTTGATTTCACCTCTTCCATATCACGCTTCGATTCTTCCTCAGTGGCGATCGCCTCCTCGTAACATTCTGTGCACGTGCGGCGTCAACATCAGCGTACTCGTGTTTCCAAGACAAACCCTTCACATCTCCGATGACGTTGTTGAGTGGCACTTTCCACCTTGAATCTTTATAGCATAAGAAAAAAGAAAACTGCAGATCACTCAGGTTCACGAATAGCGACATGAAATCATTAAGTGAAAAGATGAACTAACAGGAAGAGAAAGAGGATGTCGGTGTGCGTTACCATTTGTTGAGAGAGACGGTGGGAGAAGAAGCCAGCCATCTCCAAAATACGGAAGTGGATGAAAGAAGTAGAAGGCGGTGGAAGCAACCGTACGTGATTGGGCGAGCTCTCGCACACCACACAACAGGAGCAGCATCGAACCCCCAACCATCGCACCACCGTCGTTCGAACACCTCCACCTTGAAATTCAGGTATGTTTTTTGAAGTTTGATTTCGTCTATCTTGCTAATCAGGTTCATTGGTGATGTTGTAGACGAAATCGAAACACATATGTCGGAGGTTTAGGCGGTGGAGGGATCTAAGGTAAGGAAACATGTAGTCGGTGGCAGTAGGAAGAGGATTAAAGCTATGGAGGAAGTCGAGGCGGTGGATCGGTGATTAAAGTTGGGAAGAACAATCGAGAACTTGAAACCTCCTGGTAAAAAGAAAAGGGCGCACAGTAAAATTTTGAACCATATAAGAGGTAAAAGTCAAGGAAAAAAAACTACTGGGTCTACTATTCCTAAGGGAACATAATGCTTAAATTTTTTTCTTATATTTTTATTAATATGTATATAAATATAAATGGTAACATAATGCTTAAGTTTTTTTTTTTATTAATATGTATATAAATATAAATGGTAACATAATGCTTAAGTTTTTTTTCTTATATTTTTATGATCACCTTACGTTTTGGATAAAATTATCTAAATATTATATATATATATA